TAGTTTACTAGATACTGTATGCTTTTAGTAGTTCAACACTGGTAATACTTAATGATCTAGAGTAAATGACTAGGTTAACATTTTTAAATATGTATTTTTAATTTTATTTTTTCCATCACAATTTATCCCCTCTATGCCCTCTTTCGCCTCCACCCAGCCCCCTCCTCCCTGCAGTCGCCACACTGTTGTCCATGTCCATGAGTTCTCTCATTTTTTCTTCTTTTTCGCTCAATCGCTCCACCCCCCCAGCCAACATCCGCCCCCACACACACCAGACCTGCCTGCTCTCTGTCTATGAGACTGTCTCTATTTTGCATTAATGGGGATAAAGTACATACACAGGTAAGTCTGTGAAGAAGCTGACCAAGCCACATAAATTCGGAGACTGAAGAGTCCATCCAAACTTTCTTTCATTTTTTATAGACTATTCTATTAAGGTTGTTGACAGCACACTTTCTCACCTGTCATTTTGGAGGCCCCCTATGTAAACACAGTACTTTTATCTGATGGCAAACAGCAGCCACGCTGCCGTAATTATTCTGGACCTCCACATTAGATGCACTCGGTTTCTCCTAGAGACACAGTTTCCATCTGTACTTCTGAGGCAATGTTTCTACAAATTCTGCAGTGTCTGGTGGTCTGCTGCTTCCCTTACAATGCTGTGAAATGACAAAAGGGAGACCTCCCTGCTGATCTCAAAGCTCTTGGTAGGCTGGATCTAGTGTGGCCTCTTGTCAGGGAACACTTGCCTTCACGATGGTAGCTCTATGCTGAGTCCCAAAATCAGTTAAGTCCTCTTAACTGTGATCTTTTTTAAAGCTGACTTTGGCACATTCATATAAATTTTGAAATCACCTTGTCAATTTCTTATTAAAAATATCTGCTGGGATTTTAATTTGGGTTGCTTTGAAACTATGAATGAATTTGGAAAAAACGGCTATCTTCACGTCATTGAGTTTTCCAGTGAACACTGCATATTTCTCCATTTGCTTAGGTTTTATCTCTCTCAGCAAAGTCCTGCAGTTTCAGAGGACAGGTCTTGCACATGACTTGTTAGATTCATTCCATGTTATTGGAAAATAACTACAGATCTTACTTATTTCCCAACTTCTGTCTTTTATTTCTTTTACTTGCTCTATTACAGTGTTTAGGAATCCCAATGAAACAGTGAACAGAGGCAATGAGGGAGGGCCTCTTCTTCACTTGTTCTCAATGCTAGAAAGAAAGTGTTCAGTGTGTCATCAATTAGTGTGATTTTAACTGTAGGCTTTTGTAGTAATTTACCTATTAATTTACTTGTGATCACCAGATTAAGGTATTTATTAGATTTCTAGTATTTCAAGATTTTTATCATCAATGGAAGATGAGATGAGCATATGATATTGAGATGATCAAAATGGTTTTTCTCCTTTTTTTGGAATATGATAAATTACATTAGTTGGTATTTTAAACAGATTTATCGAGATCTTATTAACATATCATAAAATTCACCCTTGAAATAATTGTTCAGTTTAGTACTTCCAGTATATTCACAAGGTTGTGTGACTCCAATTCCACAAAATTTTCATTATCTCAAAAAAGAAACTGTACCCATTTAGCCTTACTCCCCAAACTTCCTTTCCACCAGCCCCTGGCAATCAGTAGCCTACAATGCACCCCCACAATATCTGCCCATTCTGGGCACATCATAGAAATGGAATCATATGATAGGTCGCCTTTGTGTCCGGCTTCTTTCACGTAGTATAAGGTTTTTCCAGGTCCATCCAGGTTGTACTAGGTGTCAGCACTTTGTTCCTTTTTATGGATGAGTAACGCCCCATTGTATGAATATATCACATTTTGTTGATTCATTCATCAGCTGATGGTCATTTGGATTGTTTCTACATTTTAGCTATTATGAGTAATTCTGCTATACATACCTAAGCATAAGTTTTTGTGTGGACAGATCTTTTCAGTCCTCTCAGTTACATACCTAGGAATGGAGCTGCTGGATCATATGATGACTCTATAATTAATTTTTTAAGGAACTGTCAAACTGTTCCCCAAAGTGGTTGGCTGCACCATTTTACGTTCCCACAAATACATAAGGGTTACATATATTGCCAACACTTGTGAGTGTTCATCTTTTTTATTATAACCATCCTGGTGGATTTTAAGTGGTCTCTCATTGTGGTTTTGATTTGCATTTCCCTAAGGACTGTTGCACATGTACTAATTAGTTATTCGTAATCTTCTTTGCAGAAATGTCTATTCAAATCTCTTGCTCATTTTTTGTCTTATTGTTGAGTTATAAGAGTTTTTTATGTAATTTGAATACATTATCCCCTATCAAATAGGGGATATTTGATTTACAAGTATTTTTTCCTATTGTGTGGGTTGTCTTTTCACTTTCTTGATGGTGTCTTGGAAGCACAGAAATTATTATTTTTGATGGTCTTATTTATCAATTTTTATCTTTTGTTACTTGTGCTTTTGGTCATAGCTAAGAAATCACTGCTTAATCCAAGGTCAAAAAGATTTACCAAAATGCCAAAGGTTAAAGACAAAGAGAGAATCTTAAAAGCAGCAAGAGAAAGCAGTTAGTTCCCTATGAGGGAACACTCACATGACTGTCAGCTGATTTCTGAACAGAAACCTTGCAGGCCAGAAGGGAATGGCAGGAAATAGTCAAAGTGATGAAAAGCAAGAACCTACAAACAAGATGACTCTACCCAGCAAAGCTATTGTTTAGAACTGAAGGTCACATAAAGAGCTTCACAGATAAGAAAAAGCTAAGGGAGTTCATCCCCAAGCCAAACCAGTATTACATGAAATGTTGAAGGGTCTTCTAGAAGAAGCTAATGAACAAAATAACCTGACAAACAAAATAGATCCAGAGACATTGATGCAGGCAACAGACAGTCATATTTCAGAGGGAAGAGGGAAGGGGGGTGGAAGGTGGGAAGAGATTAAGCAAAGAAGTTATGTGCATATATGTATAGCCCATGGACACAGACAATAACGGGGTGAAGACCTGGGGAGGGGGGGAGCAAAGTGGAGGGGGTCAATGAGGGGAAAAAATGGGATACCTGTAATACTTTCAACAATAAAGATTTTTTTTAAAAAGATCTCTTCTAAGAAATTTACAGTGTCAGCTCCTACATTTTGGTTTCTGATCCATTCTGAGTTAATTTTTACATATGGCATTTGTAAGGGTCCAACTCCATTCTTTCACATATGGATGGATACCCACATGTCTCAAGATCATCACTGACACTGTTAATTCAGTTGTACATTCCTGGGAAAATTTTTTCTTTTTGTGTATGTATGGTGTGTATGTATGGGGGGGGGGTGCATATAATATTGCTAAATTTTTAATCCTAAGTGAATAATTAACTTATCAAGAATTCCTGAAACTGTATTCATGAGGACTATTGGTCTGTAGTTTTCCTTTCTTGTAACATCTTTGTCAAATTTTGATACTAAGGTTATCCTCGCCTCATAAAATGAGTTGGAAAGCATTCCCTCTGCCTTGTTTTTCTAAAAGGATTGGTTTAAGATTGCATTATTTCTACCTTAAATGTCTGATATAATACACCAGTGAAGCCATCTGGGCATGAAGTTTTCTTAGTGAGAAGATTTTTATTATAAATTCAATTTCTTAAATATGTATATGGTTATTAAAATTTTCTGTGTTAGAGTCTCTATGTTGGGTTTTTTCAGGAATTTATAAATTTCACCCAAACTACTGAATTTATTGTATTAATTGTAAAGTTGTTAATATCAACTTATTATTCCCTTAATGCCTGTAGGATCTGTGATCATGCACTGATGTTCTCTTTTCATTCTTGATACTAGTCGTTGGTATTTTTTCTGTTTCTTTCCTCATAATTCTTTTTAAGGCTCTATCAATTTCATTGATTATTGATTATTTTTTTCAAAAAAACAAGTTCTGACTTTGTGGCTTTTTTCTGTTTATTTTCTATGTCACTATTCTCGAGCTCATTCTCACTGCTGGGAGTAGGAGCAAAGGCCTCTTGTGACTTTCTTCATCCTAACTGGAAGGAAAAGTTTCTTTCTCACTTCTTTTGGTCTCTCTCTCATGAACCTCATGTTTTGTATGGCCATGTGCTACATTACAGTGTTGCAGTCAATGACAGACGGCATACACAACGGTGGTACCATAAGAGTAACGAGGAACTGAAAACTCCCTAACACCTAGTGATGCCATAGCCGTCGCGATGTCATAGTGTAACGCATTGCTCCTGTCTGTGCTGATGCTGGTGTAGACAAACCTACTGCACTGCAGTTGTATGTAAAAGTACAGCANCCCTTTTAAACAGTTTTTAGTCGTATACCATATTGTTCCTTCTTAAAATTTCTTAAACATATGGTTCATAGGTATTTGAAAGTCCTTCTATGATAACTCTATTTTATTCACTGAGTCTAAGCCTATTGTTTGTTCTCTTTACTTTTCTATAAATTCTTACACTCTCATATAGCTGGTTACTTTTTACTGAGAGCTAAGCATTTTAAACGGAAATGCATACACATAATTTGAGGCTCTCTTTCTCCAGAAATGACTAACTTGTGCTTCAGACAGGCAGCTCTGCTGTTGACACATTACTATAACTCAATCGGAATGACATGATTTGTAAACAGGCTTCAGACCTTATGAGGGCTATTTATTTTCAGTTCATTGTTACTCCTAGGATATAGTCCTGCTTCTTCCTAACCCAAAGATGGGAGGTTTACCTGGCCTTCTTGTCCTTGGGAGGCCATGAATTCAAACCTTGGTCCCTAGTGTCTCCATATGTTCATGACAACTCTGATAGATTCCTTGCTGAGCCTACCTCCCCGGACATCCCAGCCTTTTTTCAATCCTAGACTCTGAAAATTCTCATTGGTTCAGCACTCCAGCACATTCTAACATGAAAAAAAAAAAAAAAAAAAAAGATATACTTAAAAGTATAGCACATACAATTATGTACAGTACGTAACACTTGGTAATGATAATAAATACTGGTTTACATATTTACTATTCTATAAGTTTTACTGTTATTTTAGGGTGTACTCTTTCTACTCACAAACCAGTTTGCTGTGAAGCAGTATCCACATTATACACCAGCATCCTCATCACACATCCTGTGTTTGCAGCATCGCTTGACTGCATCATTTTCTCTTGTACTTGATTTACTCTTGCAGAGTTTGTAAAGTCTGCAGTGGTGGACAGTAATGTCCTAGCCTTCACATTCCCTCATGGACTCACTCACCAGAGCAACTTCCAGTCCTGCAAGTTCCATTCATGGTAAGTGCCCAATACCAATGTACCATTCTTTTTTCTTTTATACTATATTTTTACTGCAAACATTTACCATTATGTTACAACTGCCTAGAGTATTCAGTGCAGTAACATGCTATACAGGTTTATAGCCCCGGAGCAATAAGCTATCCCATATAGCCTAGTGTATAGTAGACTATACCATCTAGATTTGTTAAGAACACACAACGATGCTCACACAACTACTAAATTGCCTAACAATGCATTTCGCAAACTGTGTCTGCATCGTTAAGTCTTCCACCCATGGCTTTATTTGAGAAATAAGTTAAATCTAAAAAAAGTTCTCAGAAATTTCATCTGTGCTATCCCTTCTAAATAGACATTTATTGAGAATTTTCCTAAAGCCCCAGAAACCATCTTCATAAAAACAAAACATAGTAGATACGACACTGGGATCATAAAATTCTACTGAAAAACTGACTAGCAACTATCTGCTTATGTAATCTGGCATGTAGGATTTCAAATTTTGCAGATTGGAAACAACTATCTGGGGCAAAGGGCTATAATATATACAATAACCACAATATAGACAATACAGCCATAATATTATATGAATAACTTAATGGGGGTCCAGTCATCTATATTCAGACAATAAGATCTTGCTTCCCTGTTCCTATCATGCCTATCCCAGGAAGGACTGAAGGCATAGTGAGGTACTTTAATTCTCATTTTCCAGATGAGTCCTCTGAGAAGCAGAGGGGCAGAGTGATCACACCACATCAGGCTCTCAGCACGCACCGAGTGGAGGACACCCCAGGTTCCTACTTCCCGGCACCACATCCATTCCAATGCTTGTTCACGTCAACTGCAAGGCCCAAAGGACCAATCAAATGTACCATATTATCCAAGGGTAATATTAACTTTTTATTTGAAAATAATTTCAAAATTATGGACTAGTTCAAGGAATACCCATGCTTCCTTTATCCAGGTTCCATTTTGCTCCATTTGGTTTGTAATTTGCTATCCACCCACCACCCATCCCCAGAACATTTTTTTTCTGGGCCATCATGATGATATTGCATATGTTATGGTCCTTTAACCCTAGATACTTCAGTTTGTATTTCCTAAGAGTAAGCATATTTCCTTACAAAACGCAGTACAGTCACAACAAATTTAAAAATGATGCAACATGTTTACCATCCATATTCTAATTTTGTAAATTAACCTAATAATGTATTTCCCCCTCCTTTAGTATTGTTTAATCTGGAACATTTGTGCAGCCTTTGCTTTTATGACCTTGAGATTTTTTAAGAATACAGTTGACCCTTGGATAACAGGGTTAAGGGCACCAACCTCCCATGCAGTAAAAAATCTGTGCATAACTTTGACTCCCTAAAAACTTAACTACTCTTGACCTTACCAGTGAAGCCTTACCAATAATGTAAACAGCTGATTTACATATATATGTTATATGTGTTACATACTATAGCTTACAATAAAGTAGCCAAAGAAATAACGTTAAGAAAATCATAAGAGAAAATATATTTACAGCATGTATTGAAAAAAAATCCACATATAAGTGGACTGTATAGTTCACACCCATATTGTTCAAGTTCAACTGTACAGACCCTTTTCTTTCTTCATAGAATGTTCACCATTTTAGATTTTTCTGTTTCCTTGGGATTAGGTACAGGTAATGCACTTCCAGGTGGGCTACTATGGAAGTGGTATTTGTGTCTTCTCAGGTTATCACATCCAGAGGCACATAATGTCCATCTGCCCCTTACACCTGACATGAATTTTGACCACAGTCAAGTTGTTGCCTGGTTTCTCCAGTATAAACTAGTATTCTCCCCAGCAACTAGTAAGAAATCTGTGAGGAGATACTTTAAGACCACAAAATAGCTCGTTCCTCCCCAAGGTAGAATTTTTATAATAGTATTTTCATCACTACTGCTATAAAAAGTGACCTCTACATAGTAGAAGAAATGTTGGGTTCACTTATTATACTTAAGTTCCATGCCAGTTTTAGCATCTGTTTTTATTACTGTAGTCCATGCACACTAGGTGTTTATTAAAAACTGTCCATTAACTGCTATCTGGGCAGGATATGGGATCTGATTTTTAAATCCAACTGTTATCAGTGCCCTAATTTTTGTTCAATGAAAAGAAATCTCTTTAACTTAGGCTACAGAAGACTTTAGAAGTTAAATGATATAGCTGACAGACCATCCTATAAAAAAAAGAAACTTACAAAAGAATCTACATCTTTTTATTCAAATTATACATGAATTCTGGATAAAGTGATATTATTATCCAACCTTTTTAAGCAGTATGATTTTGAGGTGAGCTTTAATTCAAGGCATTAACTTAGATTAGCTTACATAAAATGTTCAAAAGCTGGGTGGCTTTAGTTTCTGAGTTCGGTAACAAGCACAAAGGTGGCAATATTTGGAAAGCAGAACAAATGGAGAAAAAAATTTTTTCTGAAATAGTTTCTAAATTACAAAATTTATTTTAGTTTTTAAAGATGCGTTCTTCTTCATTTCACTGCCATGGTTCTCAGCATCATGTGCAAGGGTGTTTTACAACCCAGTCATTCTGCTGACCAGTCCTGCCACTAATTCCACAGTTCTCCAGAGGAGGCAGGAATCGGGGGTAGGCCAAGGGCTTCTGCTCTTAAGAAGAATATGAGTTGTTATAGCCCCTTCCCTTTTGAGCCCAGCTTCTCAGCTATAACTGTGTCTTACTTGCAATACAATAAAATTCCAGCCTGTATGAAAGAAGAGATGGGTTTTTTTGATCCACAGAATTCAGCAGCCAGAGCATTAGTTTTTGGGTTTGTTTTTTTAAAACAGCATTTGTAGCCACAGGCTCAGAGGAGGAAGAAAGGAGAGGGATTAACTCTCACAGAGAAGGTCAGAAACATAATTTACAAGCAAGGCAGAGGAGCAGCTGTATCTGTCAGCCTAATCAAGTCTACCAGCTGGAGAATTTACCAGCAACATGAAAACCACGTCCACCAGATGTCAGGCAATGCAACTGGAGGCCAAACATCTTTGGCTCGGCGCAGTGCTCTCCCCTCCCTCTACCCCCTATAGTTCATGTTAAAAGGTATCTTCCACAGGCCACCAGCAGGGAAAACAAGAACATTTCTACACAAGGGGCTTAAAACACGCTCGTGCCCCACCAGATTGGCTTCGGTACTCAAATTACAGGTGACCTGTAAGGGGCGAGAGAAATAAATGGCTGCAAGTCATTCCTGCGCAAGAGTTCCTGTGGCTTGTCAGATAGTTTCTATTTGGGAACCATTTTGCCATTGGGAAGAAAAGAATGCTCTGAGGATCCTTTACTCAAATAACCATTTTTCCCTTCGTTCTTACACCTGTGCTATTCAGTACAGTACCACTAGCCACGCGGTTAAGTTTAAGCTAAGTAAAATTTAGAATTCTGCTCCTCAGGCAGACTGGCCACACTTCAAGGGCTTAACAGCCATATGTCGCCAGTGGCTATTCTACTGGACAACACAACATAAATATAAAACATTTCCATCATCACAGGAAATTCTATTAGATAGTGTTGTTCTAACCTGTAAATCGCCTTTAAAATGGGCAGTTATAACTCCTTTCTCTAAACACTATGAAATACAGCAACCTTTATGCACTCTCTTATGAAAGAAGTCTACCACCACAATGCAAACGCGGTTGCAGGTGCGGGGATGCGGCGGAGGGGAGCCGAGGAAGAGCGAGACCCGCGAGTGTAAGCCGGTGCAGATGCCGCCTGACGCGGGGCTCTGCGGCTGCGCTCACAAAGCCCGGTGCTGCGGCCCGCCGGCTGGTGACGTGCAGAGGCCTGTCCGCGTGGGTATCCCCTGACAAATAACTATGAACTACTCTTTCTTACATGTATCCTCAATTTGTTAATGATTTCACATATATCAGACAGTTTATATCGAAGTTTCCTTACTTATGTGCAAAACCAACCACGTCCTCTAAGAAAGAGGCCGCCCAACTCTGCAGCGTTGCAAATGAGGTGCTTTCATGCCAGGGAAACATCATATGCCACAGCTGTGTCTAAAAATTTTATGAACAAGGAGAACACGAGGCCAAGTATAAAATAAAATCCACAAATGAGGTTTTTTACTCCCAGGCTCAGCCTGGTGAGTGTGGGGAAGCCAAGCCACTCAAGAGGTGCTGCAAGGACATCCGGGTGATGGTTGTGACTCAGGGAGGGCCGTGGGCCATGGCACATGACACACAGGGCGCAAACCTCTGACTCTGCCGTGAGGACACTGGCCAGGCCCAGCCAGAGCGCAGCGAGCCCAGGCCAGGTCGCACTGATCGGCACGTCAGCCGCCTCCGCCCTCCCACGTGCGCAGTGCAGTCCAGGCGCGTGGCTTTCTCTACCTCGGTTTCCTTTACCTGCTCCAACACTCCCTGCAAATTCACAAGTCCTGACAGCCCATCAGCTTCACTCCCATTTTCTCTACTCAATCCCAGTTTCCTCTTTTCCAATTATTCACAATGGACAAAGAAGAGCAAGATGGGGAAAAAAAGGTTTTCCTAATCCTCCCTGCTCCATCATCAAAAGCGTAAGAGAGCTGCTGCTCTTCCTTGGGCTCATCAACTGTTCTTAATCAGATTCTCATAAAGATCACCGAGCTACTACCCAGGAGAGGCTGGGACAACCCACTCGGCCTGCTGGAGGTCCCGCCCTGGCTGCAAGGTGTCCGGGTTGCGCCCCAGTTCCCCGCTTACCTTGGCTTTCCCATCCTGGGCTGACATGTAGCCAACACACATGCTCTCCGTCGTGTGGCTCCACAGAAATTCCACTGCCATGGAGAACACAAATAGGCACATTCAGATCACAGATGGAAAATAAATCCTTGCTTTTTAATAGAACAGTTAAAGATAGCTTTACACTTAACACACTCAGTTCCCTACTTTCCATTTGCTCCTTCGTAAATGTCAGGATGATTTAGTGCTCAAACTGTGTAATGCCATTTACTGTGAAATGAAAAATGTATTTCTTTCTTGTCAAAACTTATGATTATTACATGTAAAATAAATGCTCTTCTGTTTGAAACTTGTAACATTAAAGACACACATGTGCGCGCACACACTCATATGCACAGTACACAATGATTTAGTAAATGTAATATTCCATAACGTAGTTTCCTTTAAATCACACACACACACCTTGGTTTCTAAATACCATTCTGCATGAAAAGGAACCAGGATTCCTTGAAGAAATGTCAATTCCCTGACTGGGGCAGAGAAAATATAAAATGATTCTGGAACGTCTTGTTGTGCCAGAAAATGAGGAGTGCTCAGAAATGATAAGGACTGATCAGAAGGACCAGGGGTCAGCTTGAAGGTCCCATGGGCCAAATCTGTGTCAATCTCAGCATCAAAATAAATAATCACGGCAATGAACTCTCACCGCTGAACACAGTAAGAACCAACGAGCCCATACTAATGCAAACAAATAAATAAGTAAGTACGCGGGGGAGAGGAGGAAGCTCTTTCTCGCAGCAGAATGCCCACTAATAAATACAAAGTAAGAACTCAGCAAATCATCATGGCTGCTAAAACTAGTCGGTGAAAATTTGAAGAGGGACAGGCTATTTCTAGTCTCAAGGTGCTTCTCCACAAAATTCTTGTTAAATATAAAGAGGGGAAATGTAATGTAAGTTTACTGTAAAGAAACCTGATGACTACACTTGGACAAAATGATACGAGCCAACATCACCATGTAAGGGACAAATCAATGCAATGTGCCTCCTGACGAGACACCCTGAGACTCACCACTTCTGCGGTGCTCCTGCCAAAAGCACAGAGCAGATCTGCATGAGGCAGCCACACGGATCTAGGGCAGGAAAGCTACTAAAGAGCTGGTGTGAGCTCTTCGAAAATGTCAAAGTCAAAAAAACACAAAGAAAGTTCGGAAACTGTTCCATTTGAAGGAGACAAACAAGATATGACAACTAAATGCAACGTGCCATCCTGGACCGGATCCTGGACTAGGGGTGGGGGGTGTTATAAGGGACATTATTAAGACAATTGATAGAGTTTAGGAAGGGACTATGGATTTGATAACAATGTATCGATGTTAAATGCTATGATTTTGGTATCTATATGTAATTACTTAGGAGAATGGCCTTGTTCTTAAGAAATACACACTGAAGTATTAGGAGTAAAGACCCCTGAAATTTCTATCTTCGTCTCAAATAGTTTTAAAAAATGTGCATGTTTAAATGTGTGAGTGTGTGTGTCTGTGTGCCTAAGGGAAGGAGGGAGTGAAGACAGAAAAACAAATGGGGGAAATGAAAACAACGGAAGAATCTGGGTAAAGGAATCACGGCTGTCCCTCGTACGATTCTCATAATTTTTCTGCAGTTTGAAATTACTTCTAAATTAAGTTACAAAAGGAAAAATCCACAAACATACAGAGATACACACAAAAGTTTGTCACCTTCAAGCACATACTTTCAAAATTCTAAGTTTTTTTAAAGGCATTTTTTAAAGTTTCGAGGCACTTCTCCAACAAAAATTTCAAAAGTCCCTGATAATAAAACTGCATTGCTCAACACTAAGCCCTCTGGGTCTCAGGCCATCCATCTGTTTATATCTCTGAGCTCATTAAGCCTGAAGACAAGTGTTTGAGTTGAGACACAACTGTGGGATCAGTGATCCTAGCCTCTGAAGGCTTTGCCAGACATGTGGGGAAGAAAGAACGAGTAAGGGACAAACGCGAGTTCCTCAGATACGTGGCTCATTCCCTCATCAGCAGCTAATTACCGAACCTGCCAACCTGCTACACAGACGCTGCGCTGAAGACGCAGGGAAGCAGTGTCACGCCACGAAGCAAGTTCTCCTCACCAGATGTTTTCTTCTTCCTCACACATCTCCTTTGAACTTCAAAAATCTTCAAGTCCAGAGCATGGTCTCGGGTATTCTAAATTGCCTAATAGAGCAAAGGCACTAGAGCCGTACCAAATTTCCCTAGAGTGATGGCAATGCAGATGTATTTACAAATACAAAGTTAAAAGAAAGTAACTGAACGTCTAGAAATTCAGTCTTCACTCTTTTCACAAACCCCCAAAAAAGTGGTGCATTGCACTAAGACATTTTTAATACCAACAGTTCAAATCAGTGTCTGTGATTGGTTCAGTATATAACTAGTTCAAGCTAGCCAGAGAAACTCAGCAGGAATTGTCTACAAGTTAAATCGGAGACTGCTTTTGAAAAGAAACCCTATTTTATTTATTTTAGTGCATGTCTTAAATTAATACAACAAGTTATTTCTTGGTGGAAGGCTTCAGGGAAGCAGGAGAGGGAGGAACTAACCCTCAGCATCTTCTGTAGGACTCAGTAAAGCCTGGGTGGGACGCCCGGCGCTCACGGAAATACATCTTGTGGCTTATGTCATTTTGGTACATGAACAAACTGGACTTTTGGATTCCAAACCTGTGACCTTCCATTGTCCTATTGTCTGAAATTTACTCAGCTTGAAAAGGACTTATCATTAGTGTTACATATTAAGAGGATTAAGTTCCATACAAACACCAAAGGACCACAAAACATCAAACACAAACACAGCTCTGAACTATCTCTAAAGAAAAGCTTTTAAAACAATATTGAAATCCAGAGGTCATAAAAGACAAGACCAATACGTTTGACTACATTAAAACTGTTTATAGTCTTGTCTTTACCATGTGCGGGGAAAAGTCAAGCAACAAACTAGGGAAATATTTGCAATTCATAGCATTAAAAATGGACTAATTCTCTCTTTCTTTTTAATATGTCTTATTGATTTCAGAGAGGGAGAGGGAGAGGGAGAGGGAGAGGGAGAGGGAGAGGGAGAGGGAGGGAGAGAAGCATCAGTGATGAGAGAGTCACTGAACGCTGCCTCCTGCTCACCCCCTGCTGGGGATGGAGCCCACAACCCGGGCATGCGCCCTGACCAGGAACCAACCCCGATCGCCTGGATCCCAGGTCGATGCTCAACCACTGAGCCACGCCTGGCCGGGCAGGACTAATTTTCTTAATATATAAAGATCTGCTACAAATCAATAAGAGACAAATATCCAAAGATAAAGCAAAAAAGGGCATAAACAAAAGGGAATATGAATGGCTCTCAAATGCAAAGAGATGTTGTACATTTCTCCAACTAAAAGAACTGCAAATTAAAACCACAAGATACCATTATTCAACTATCAGGTAGGTTATCAGGTATCAAAAGGTTTGAAACAACACTTTTTATTTTTTTGGTCTGAGGGTAAAGAAATGAGCACTTTCATATAATGATGGTGGGAGTATGGCCATTTGGAAATACATTCTTGTAATTTGTGGTAGTTATGCCCTATAAGGTCATAGGTCATCATGAACAATTAGTTAGAAAATACGGAGCTACTGCTCCTAAGAGAAATACAGTGTTAGGTTCCTGCAAGTCTCTGGTCACAGCATTTTCAATCAATAAGTAACTTCATGTGGGCTTCTGTTTAAAGACATCTCATTTAATATATATTTCTTACAAGTAATTAATTATATTCAGTATTATACTAAAACAGTAGCCAAGAAGAGTTTAACATTTTCCTGACCCTGGATTACCTGCCCATGAATTTCTTTGGCTTTCAGCCTTCCCTATGCTCTTTTTACCAGCCATCTTCTCATGAATCCACAAATTAAACTACATTTCCAGCTTCTCCATGGTTTCGTTAAGCACTGTAGATGTTACTTTAACAGTTTCTGGAGCAGCACACAAATCAGTAACTTCCTCTTCCTTTCCCTGGATTTACGGTATTGTTGGTTCATTAACTTTGAATTCACAGCCAACATCACTATAACTCTTGCCTGAATGAAGCTTATCCCATGTGCACATTTTCTACACAGGACATCGCAACCTTCTTGCACTTAGGAACACTAGGCAGCAATTCAGCACTATGCTTGGGGGCCATTTGAAACAGCAAAATCACCAACAAAAAGCACAAAACTGTGAAAAATGTGGCACAAACAGACCACAGAAAGGACACTTGTTTACAGTATTTTCACTTATTACACACATTTCTTTATAACTGAAATTTTATAAAATAATATTTTACTAGCAATGCACTGGTCTGTTCTGTTGGGTTCTTTATAGTCTTCCCACTGCATTAAAAAGATTATGCTTACCCGGCCGGGCGTGGCCCAGCAATTGAGCATCGACCTAGGATTCAGGCGATCAGGGTTCGATTCCCGGTCAGGGCCGTTGCCAGGGTTGAGGGCTCGATCCCCAGTCTGGGGCGTGCAGGAGGCAGCCGATCAATGACTCTCATCTTTGATGTTTCTATTTCTCTCTCTCTCTCTTCTTTCCTCTCTCTGAAATCAATAAAGATATATTTAAAAAAAAAAAAAAGATTATGCTTGTGACTCACTAGATTGACTTCAGACCTCATTAATATACCTTCAGTTTGAAAAACAGTAATCTGCAAGATATATAGTTTATCTAAAATAAAAGGCAAGGTGGAAATGATATATAGAGATGTGAGGCCATTTTTGTGGAAGAAAGTAAAAGGGCACCATAGACAAGCATGTTTACAAATACATGGGCTCTCTCTCTGGAAGAGTCCCTTAGGAACCGGGAAGAATGGCTGCTACTATAGAGGGAACTGGCTGACTCAGAAAGTTGAGTAGAGGGCCGCCTATTTTTCACAGTCTATCCCTTCTGAAACTTCTGAATTGTGTCCTATTTTCATTCATGTTCTATTTTTTAAAAAACATTCATAGGAATCTCAATTACCCTGCTAATCTATACTCTCTATAAAGAATTAATTTCTTCCTTGTTTATATT